GGGGGGGAGGGGGTCCAGGAAAGACCCCTGAAACCTGGGGCTGCAGAGCAGGATGGAGGGTCAGGGAAGTCTTTGGAAGAAACAGCACTTGAGTTGTGCCAAGCTGGGTGGCATCACTTCCCAATGCAAATATGGTATTGTTGGCAAAACTTCACCCTGGGGGACCAGGCCAAGGACACCTCCCCAGACTCTCTGTTTCAGGAGCGGCTCATCACCACCCTGAGGCCATAAATCAACTGAGTCAAAGGAACTGAGCCACCGCTGCCTAATTGAAAAGACTGTCTTGGAAGGAAAGGCTTAGACAGTCAGATTTATGCCTTGTGTGGCAAATATTACTTATTTGACAGAACGCAGCTGAGTTAATGTCATTTTCAAGAACTTGTTTACCCAATGATTATGTGATTAATGAACATCAAAAGGTTCACTGCTTAAAACCGAAGTTTGACAGGCTGGTATGTTTCTAGGCCTGGTTGCAGCCACCACTGCAGCACAGAAAGTAAATCAATTTCAATTATCTTCTGGGGAAAACAGTGTATAATAAAAGGGCTAATTAATAGGCTTGGGTGTTTTTAAAACCTCCTCCATCCCTGAAAAAAAAGAACCGTGAGAAATAATTATCTCAAGGTTGGTCTGAGAAGTTAAAAACAAACAAATAAAAAAACACCTAAAGGTAATAACCTCGTTAACCTCATTGTTTTCTCAGTTAAACAAGAAATTAGAGTCAGGTGCAGTGGCTCACACCTGTCATCCCAGCACTTTGGGAGGCCAAGGTGGGAGGACTGCTTGAGCCCAGGAATTAGCCTGGGCAACATAGTGAGACCTCATCTCTATAAAAAATACAAAAATTAGCCAGGTGTGGTGACATGCACCTGTAGTCCCAGCTGCTTGGGAGGCTGAGGTAGAAGGATCTCCAGAGTCCAGGAAGTCGAGGCTGTGGTGAGCAGTCATTGTGCCACTGCACTCCAGTCTGGGGGACAGAGTGAGACTCCGACTCAAAGCAAAACAAAAGAAGTCAGTGCTCACCTGGCTTCCCAGACCCTCCAGGGCCTCCTGCCGCTAAGCCTTCCCTTCTGCTAACCTCCTCCCTCAGCAAGAGGCTTGCTTCCTGTCCTGACACAAGTTGTAGCTTGTCCTGTCCCGACTCCCTCCTCCTGTCCTCCCGCTGGTCATTTCCTCACTCTGATGTCCCCAGCTGCCACGTCACCTCCCCAAGGCCCACCTGCCTGCAGCTCTTTCTCTTAATGGCAGCAGGCATCGTCCCGACCTCCCGTGGCAGTTGGTGAAGCAGAGCATTGAGGGCAAAGTCAGGCAACGTGGTGGCAGGAACGAGACTGTCCAGTCCTCGTTTTATGAATGAGCAAGTTGGGGCTCAGAGAGGTAGAGAACATTGTCCGACGTCACGTGAGGGAGGCCAGCCACAGCCCTGGGTAGAGGCTGCTCCCATGCTCCTGCAGCTCCTTCCACCCAGTGCTGCGTGCTCTTCTAGAAGCTGTCCAATGCAGCTGGTCAGGCTCCTCACCTGCACGGAGGTGGTGACTGAGTCTGTCATGCAGAGTTGGGGCGTTGAGACAGAGCTGCATGTGTGACGCCTCAGGCCGGGGCAGTCTCCTCCTCTCCTCCTACCTCATCAGATTTCTGCATGTCAGTCACTATGGGAGAGGGAGGGAGCGTGACCTAGTGGGTGCATAGTAGGAAAGCTGGACCTGCAAGCGGGCCCGCTGGGCAAGGACAGACCCCTGGGCCGGTCCTCTAATGGCTTCCCTAGAGTCCACCAGCATGCCTGGAGGTTAAGTGACTGGTCACAACCACATACACCCAGAGGCAGAAGGATGGGTTGGAGGGAAGGGACTGTCTTGGGTCTTCAACTTCGGGACCAGCCCTGAATGACAGCTCAGAGGGAGCTGTGTTGGCCAGGTTTCTCCAGAGAAACAGAACCCATAGGAGAGAGACAGACCCAGAGGGAGGTTTATCACGAGGGACTGGGCCACATGGCTACGGAGGCTGCGTCCAAAGACCTGCCTGGACCTGCTGTCTGAATGCTGGAGGCTGAGAAAGCCAGTGGTGTTGTTCCAGTCCACACCTGATGGCCTGGATCCAGGGGAACCCCAGGTGTGAGTCCCTGCCCAACCCTGAGAGCCAGCAGCTAGGTGCTCCGATGTTCCCTCCTCTGCCCTGCTGCACCACCTGGGCCCTCCGTGGACGGGACAGTGCCTGTCCACATTGGTAGTGTGACCTTGACTCGGTCCTTGACTGAGGCAGTAATGGACTCAGACTGATTCAAATGCTAATCCCTCCCAGAAACACTCTCAGACACACTAGAAATAATGTGTCACCACTCTGAGCATCCCTGAGTCCAGACATGTTGACATGTAAGATTAACCATCACACCATCCTTGACAGCACCCAAGGCCCCCTGAGTGAGCAGCCCGTGGCTCTGAACCCTGAAACTGCGAGGGCCACAGGGCACCTCAACCATGGGGAGGCTCACAAGATGACCTCGGGTCTCGGGACCTCAACGCTATTGTGCTCCCGCTCAACAGTGTGCACACGCGAGGCTCCAGGTTTGTGGGGTGCATGCCTACAGTGTTCATCGCCTTCCCTCCTCATCACCCTGAAGGCTCACTGTACCACCCTGGGGGAAAGGGAGACCCATCAAGCCCACATTGGGTGGCACCATCCTCTCCCAAGCAGAGGAAGCAGGCGCTGGCAGTCAGAGACTTGGCCGGGTGGAGCAGGTGGGTGGCCCTGCCCCTTCAACACGAGGTAGTCATCATAGAGCCCTCCAGAGCTGGAACAGCTGAAGCCTCTAGCCAGAGGACTTGGCAGTGGAGAGATCTCCACATGGAGGAAGATGCCCCCTTACCCCTATCACCTGTCCTCCCCCTCACCACTCTGCCCTGCCGAATGAACTGGAATGCAGGAGCCCGGGGATATCACCTCCCTCCTAAACCCACTCCTACCATGAGCAGGGGTTGGGCCACAACTCAGTAGCCCCATGAGGAGAGGGTCCAGGTGAGAGGCCACCATCATAGGCTTCCCAGAGGAGGCACGAAGAGCTCTCCTGGCCGAAACAGGGCTCCCGATCACCCCTGACACACACACATGTGCACACGTTCACACACAGAGCTGTCTATACACAGAGGCACCAGAAACGCATCTTTATTCAAATCCAAGTGTGCAGCAGCCCCCACCAGACCCCTCCCTCTAACCCCAACTTTACCCCCCCCCACCAAAGAGTGTTCCCTGGAAGTTGGCTTCAGCTTCTGAATTTGCCCACCAGCTTCTTGGATGGCCAAGACCCCAGGCCCTGCTGCTCGAGGAGGAGGGACAGCTGCCGGCGAGCCTCCTGGTAGGGCCCGGCCTAAGGTAGGGACAAGAGGGGGAGTGGCGGTGAGCGGGGTGGGGGGTGCTGGGGGGCCCGGTGAGAGAGGCTGGAGCGGAAGGGCTCGACCTTGGCTTAGGGCAGGGCTGGGGATGCAGGAGGACCCGGGGAAAGAGGCTGGCGAAGAAGGGACTGACCTTGGCCGCCTCATAGGTCTTCAAGGCCAGGAGATGGGGCTGCCCCAGGGCCCTGGCAGCCTGGCGAAAGGCTTGGAGAAAGGCAGCCTTACAGAGGCGGGAGGGAGGCCCAGGGGCAGCGCTGGATGGAAAGGAAAACGCCACAGACATCAGAGGGAAAGGCTGGGCTGAGCCCTGCCACATGTGGCTCACACCACCTCTGATGCCGTGATAAGGCCCAGGGGACATGGGGCAGGTGGAGGGGTGCCAGCCACTGCCACAGAGCTGATAAGGAGCTCAGCCAGGGTTAGAGCCTCAGGCCGTAACTCGAGCAAACTCACTCCTTGGGGCAAGAGATGTGGATCCCCCACCACTGGGCCCCACTTCAGCCCGGCCCCAGGGGCCCTCCTCACTCGGCCTTCACACGCCCGGTGGCCACATCCACAACCTCAATGCCGGGGTCTCCCAGGCTCCAGTTGAGGCTCAGGCCGTGGCAGGTGTTGGTGGTGGGGTCAGCGGGGGCCACCGGAGGCCCTGCAAACAGGTGCAAGGTGGTGCGGACGTAGGGAGGGGGCAGGCACGGCCCTGAGACCTCATCCAGGCTGGGCCGCGTATGGATGGCCCTGCTCAGAGTCAGGGGGTCATGGCAGGGGTCAGCTGCAGGGCAGGAAGCACAAGACAGGTGAGTTGCCTCCACACGCCCACCCCACCTGGAGCCACCCTTGGCTGGTGCCTGGAGCCCTCACCCAGGACAAGGCTGGTGCCGTAGAGCGGGTGCAGGAGGTGGGCCAGCAGGGCGCCGCCTAGGCCCAGCACAGCCCAGCGCGCCAGCTTGTCGCTGGCCGAGAGGCAGCCCACACTGGTGTGGTGTAATGCGTGCGTCACATAGCACACCGGCTTCAGCTGCCCACGGATGTGGGCCTGCAGGCGGAAAGATGGACTGTGCAGGAGGCCGCCTTCCGAGGACGGCGGCAGACTGCCGGACAGGGAGGGAACAGGTGAGAACACCAGAGTCAGGGTGCTCTTCCGGTCTGGCCCCCCCCCAGAAGCCCAGGGGCCCCACGTACTAGATGTCATGGGCAGCTCCCTTCGGGGTGTTACTGACGTAGAGGTGCAGGAAGATCCGGGGCTTGAGGGCGAAGGGGGGTCCAGGCCCAGGCTGGGGGGCCAGCACAGACAGCTCCTTTCCCTTGGGTCCCCCCTGCGTAGCCAGCAGGAGCTGCCGGAACAAGAACCTGGGAGGGACAGGCAGAGAGCAGTTGGGCTGCCGCGTCCTGACAGGGGCTGCAGCAGAGCACCCCACACTGCCTGCCCCTCACCTCAGCAGGGCCCGGCGGGCGATGACCAGAGCATGGCAGTCGTGCAGCTGCCGGCCCAAGAACTCCAGCCAGTCAGCACAGCTGCTGTCGCCGGTGCCCAGCGCCACCAGCTGGTAGATCTCCTTGGCATGGCCCTTGACGCCCAGGACCTCTGTGCAGGGAGGGACAGAGACAGCCCCGCCTGAGGCAAGGGGCCCCAGGAGGCTTCCCAAGTGGGCAGGGTTGGGACAGTCCCTACCCCTCTCCAGGATGACAGCAGCCACAGTCCCTTTACAGGCCCAATACGGCGAGTGCTCGTCCAGCAGGCGGTCAAAGCCAGCGCTCACCACGGCTGCACAGCGCTGCTCATGGGTCAGGATGCTCTCTGCACCAGGGAGAGGGTAGAGGTGGGGGCGTGCCTCTCCCCTCCACGCCAGAGCCTGGGTCAGTGACAGCCCACCTACCTACACTCAGAGAGGTCAGTGGAGGCCTGATGGATGGGGTCCTAGGGGGCTCTGAAAGAGAGGCACGGCTGCTGTGGGGGCTGGGAACTGTCCTTCCTTCCTTCAGGAAGCCCAGGAGGAGGGGAGGGCAAGATTTCATCCTTCAGACACAGCAAGTTCCACGAGCTGCCCCTACCCTCTGTGAGGGCTTCAAAGGACAAAAGCACAGGAGAAGCACATGTCCCCTCCCTGGAGGTCAGGTCCTGATGATACTCAGGCACCTCGCACAACCAGTCTCCTACATACCAGTGTGTGCGCACACAAACACACGCGCACACATGTTGGCTCACCTACATGCTCACACACATGCACACAACTGTCTGTCCCCAGCTGGGACTCGTTACCTGGCCCCGTGTTTCCTGGGCTCTCCAGCTCACTCCTGACCTGGCCGAGGGCAGGGACAGCCGCCTGCTGTTTGGCCTCCATCTTGCTATTTTCGGTGTCCACTGGGCAGGCCACCCCATCAGGTTCCATGCACACAGAAACGGGGAGGGAGATACCTGGGAAGGGGGGATTGAAGGAGTCCCTGGGCCTTGACCCTGAGATGGGCCTTTCTAGAAGAGGGTGGGAATCACACCCATCCTCCCTGCTCAGGCTGAAGCAGTTCTCACCTAAGTTTCTTCCTTAAACCTGACATCAAGGACAACCAGGACGAGACCCTAACTGCCCTTCCTTGACTGGGACGCCATCGACAGTAGTGTATGCCTCTGTGTGCTAGGCCGCATTGTTAACTCAGCTGAGTTCTTACCAAACGCCTAGGAGTACTATCGCCTCTGAGACACACATGGAAGACTGTTTTACAGATGAGGCACAGAAGGGCAGGCGATGTGCCCCAGGCAGTGTCAGCCCCGAGTCTGGGTCCACCTGCAGGGCCTGTGCTGCCCTGTTCTCAGGAGAAGGCCCTGAGCTCACCACATCCTAGACATGCTGTTTGATTTCTCTGGGGACTTTGTCTTTGAATTTTTTCCTATCAAATACTATCGTTTGGGGTGTTACTTGAAACACAAAAGAGACAAATGAAAACTCTAGAACTGGGATCACTTGGCCAAAGGCATAAGCTTATTTAAGTTCACGCACTTGCTGCTAAGCTGCTCCTCAGGAGGACGGCCCTTCTAGAAAGGAATCCCCTTCAGCAATCTTCACCAGCACTGGGATTCGCCTACTCTAAATGGGCAACTACAAAGTGATGCAGAAGGAGTGCTGGCATTTGAAGCCCCTGTGGGCGTCACTGCAGCAGCAACTGCATCTGGGAAGAATCATCAGCAAATCCTCTACAACCACAAAGTGACAGTATTACAGGGATAGGATATCAACACGATCTCCTGCCATCTCCCCTCAGATGACTTATTAAACACACAGGGGCAAGCAAAGATGCCACTCTAATAAGGCCCTCAGTTAACGCCAAAGGGACAAACAGAACACACGTCCCTGATGGGATGTGTGGCCAAGCACTCGACATCATGCAGGACTCAACCCAGCCCTAAGAAAACCCAAGTTGGAGGATGTTTACAAAATGCCTGGCCCTGACTCTTCAGAAACATCAATGCTGCACAAGACAGAAAAAAACAAGAACTGTTTCAGATGAAAAGGGATGAAGGAGGTGAGACGTCCAATATGTCATGCTGGGGTGGGGGGTTGGCCATGAGGGCGTTATTGGGAAAATTGCCAAAATTTTTATGTGAATAGTAACCAGATGATAGTATTATATCAATGTTGAATTTCCAGAATTTGATAGTTTTTTTTTTTGTTTTTTGTTTTTGAGTCGGAGTCTCACTCTGTTGTCCAGGCTGGAGTGTAGTGGCATGATCATGGCTCACCCCAGCCTGGACCTGCTGGGCTCAGGCAATCCTTCCACCTCAGCCTTCTAAGTAGCTGGGACTACAGGCGCACAGAAGAACCACATCCAGCTAATTTTTTTTTTAATTGTAGAGACGAGGTCTTGCCATGTTGCCCAGGCTGGTCTGGATCACCTGGGCTCAGGCAATCCTCTCGCCTCCACCTCCCAAAGTGCTGGGATGACAGGCATGAGCCACCGCGCTCGGCCAGAATGTGATAGTTTTATTCTACTTCTGTAAGAGATGTTCCTCGTAAGAATTACACACTAAAGCGTTCAGGAGTGAGGAGCATGACTTTCAAATTAAAATCATTTGCGCTGGGAATCTGAGGGGTATGTATTAAAGCAGAGGAAAGGACGACTATACCTTTATGTGGTGTATATGGTACTGCCCTTAGCAAACTTTCATAATGTCTTTAAGTAGAGGGGTGGCCCTCATTCAGTATCTCCAATGCTAGAACTGCATGTAATTGGCCCTAAAAAAGAATCTGCAGAAAAACCAGGCCGCTTGGGGGATGGGCCTTAACCTTTTTGGGCGTCAGATGCAGATAACAGATGCAGTCCACCTCGCCATGACCCAGCCACAGTTCGATGTCTGGTGTAGCTGGTGCTCCTTCCATGCACGCTGGTCGCAGCGGGGTCTACCTCGGGCCCCAGGCGTGGGTCCAGCTCATGGTCCCTCTCCGGGGTGTCCTCTGAGCACGGAAACCAACGTCTGCCTTCCCAGGCGCCTCCCACCCCCTTCCGTCTTGTGCCTTATTAGCCTGCTCTGCGACCCTGCTCCCATCTGCGAAAACCCACTGTTTGCCCCCGGGGCCTTACCTGCCGTCTGGTCTTCTGGGAAGGTCAGGCAGACGCCCAGACTGGCCGCGAACTGCCTGAGCAAGACCATGGCCTGGCCCGCGGGCGGGTCTGCAGGCAGGAGGCCGGACGGGCTGGCTTCCGTCGGGAGATCCTGGGCAGGCTCTATGGGTGCCACAGAGGCCCTCCGGGGCCTCCCCGCCCGTCCCCACGGGTCTTCCCCAGCCTGGGCTGCCCCCGGCTCCCCGACTCCGGCCCCCGCCCTGGGCCCACCGCCCCCCACCGCCCCGGCCTGGGCCTGCCCGGCCCCCCC